CCTACTCCTACTCCTACTCCTACTCCTACTCCTACTCCTACTCCTACTCCTACTTCTACTCCAACTGCTACTCCTACTCCTACTCCTACTCCTGGAAGGGTTAACAGAAGATGATTTATATATGATTATAATTACTGTTGATGTATGAACTATGAATATAATCAATCAATAAATTGTAATTATGAAACATTAGTTAACCCTAGCCTTGTCTTGATGGATCTGTGTATATGAAGGCGGGGATATTACGTGGTTTAGAATTGGCCGCAATTAGTTGAAGGGAATCATATCCAAACTGATAAATGCCCTGGGAGCTATAACGAGTTGTTCGCGTGATCTAACCCCTTCACGTTCTCTTCATAATAATACCAGTTTCATAGCCATTAGTTTTTCCAAATAAACAATTTATAAATCATGAAACTTTATCCATTATGTAATAATCCTATTTATCAATTATATAGTTAACCTTTTTTTAATTGATTTTGTTACTTTCATCTAGGATTAATTATTATTCTAATATAAACTCTACAATCAGTTAGGAGTTCAAATAGAAACATAATATTTTGTGTGCAGTTTATGTCTTTAAAGAAAACAAATGCATAATTTTAAACGAATTGTATAAAGATATTGATGTAACAGGGGGGGGGGGGAAATAGACAACTGTGAAAAGTCATCTCTTAAGAAATATGAAAATAATAATTACCTGAACCACTTTCAACCCGTCTCGCAGTTCCTTTACTTCTCATTCTTGAAAAGAAAAACTTGGACAGATAAAGTCACCTTTACACTGTGCACTGTACAGTAAAATTAAATATGCTGTACACTAAACTTGACAAATGGTTTTTATTCGCATTCGCAATGTATACAGTACAGGAAAGTAAACATTTATGTTCATTGTACATTGAATAAATATTAGCTGTAAATTGAAGTTTTCTGTACATTGCATGTACATAAAGTTAAAGTTCGTCTACAGCATAAAGTCCAATAAAGTTTACTGTACAGTGTACATAGTAGGGGTAATTTACGTTGCGTTAAAAAAAATTGTTTTGTATTTTAAACAGCAAAATTACTTTTCATTGTGCTTTTAAAAAAAATTGTCCTCCGTATTTTATACAATAAAATAAGCTCAATTTTCATTGACTGTAAAATATATTTTTTTGTAAATTGTAGGACTTATACAAGGGTATAAGCCCTACAATTTCTTAAATTAGTTTATATATGTTACAAATAGTTTAGAATATGGTTGTGTACTGATTGTACATAGTTTAGAATATGGTTGTGTACTGATTGTACATAGTTTAGAATATGGTTGTGTACTGATTGTAAGAATAAGATATGAGTGGAAGGTTCACTAGGATTACATGACTACAGACTTTCTATTCAATAGAGTCCAGAGAACCCAACCTCAACCCATCCTACTTGATACAGTTTACAGTATACCTGTACTCTAGTATAGATAGTATCATATAGAACCCAACCCATCCTACTTAAGACAGTATACAGTTTACCTGTACCCTAGTATAGATAGCATCATATAGAACCCAACCCATCCTACTTCAGACAGTGTACAGTTTACCTGTACCCTAGTATAGATAGCATCATATAGAACCCAACCCATCCTACTTAAGACAGTATACAGTTTACCTGTACCCTAGTATAGATAGTATCATATAGAACCCAACCCATACTACTTAAGACAGTATACAGTATACCTGTATCCTAGTATAGATAGTATCATAGAGAACCCAACCCATCCTACTTAAGACAGTATACAGTATACCTGTACTCCTGTACAGATGGCATCATATAGAACCCAACCCATCCTACTTGATACAGTGTACAGTATGGATTGCCTTATGGAGAAAACAACCTCAACCCATCCTATTGTATAATATGATGCACAATCAATAAATTGTAATTATGAAACATT